AAAAATCACGGTTTTAGTAACGCAGTAACGCAGCGTTCCTACGGGAAAGTAACGGTAATCTAATTACCGTTTTTGCAATAGTAATCCCTTACTTTACCCGTTACATGAAAAAAGTAATCAGATTACAGTAACGAGTTACAAGTAACGCGTTACTGCCCATCTCTGGTTATCATGAACTGGTGTAAACAGAGTGTCTTACCTGACTGAATCCTCTACATAGGCTGGACGCCCCACTTTCTGCTTATATCAAGAGCAAAGCGTATAGATTCCACATGTCTTTTCTAAATCACTTCCTGCTGATGTTGAATGCCTCTGTGTGTTACAGCTGGATGACCTTTCACCTCTCCTCTCACTCAGAGCAGCAATGCATACAGGGCCCAGATCTGTTGCTGAGTTTCTTTGAACCAGTGCAGCAGTCAGTGAAGTCGACAGCCAAACGTTGGAGTGAGCTGGTCTTTGTCTGACAGTTTGACATGTTATCTGCAGGAGACAGTAACCTAGTTTCTTTATGTGATATCTGGAAAAGAGCACAGATCTCACTGGACGACAATCTGGAGCATTTCTTACACGGAGTCTCATTTTAGGCCAGTTATATTAGCCGTGCGTTTCATTTTCTCTTTCCTTCAGGCTTTGTAGTGAAGGTTAGAGCTGGTTTCTCCCTAACGCTGCCTGCCCTGCATGAATGGTGTTTAGGAAACAGAGAGAACAGGAAAGGCAGAGCAGACAGGGAAGAATAGAGGGATATCCCCTTACATGGTTCCCTCCTTTTTCCTCCAGGATGAAAGGGGTGAGAACTTCGGAAAGGGTGCGGGGGTTGGTAAAATACACCACCTGTCCATACGTTCGCACAAACAAACCTCGGCGCGTACGCTCCAGCAATCGTTCACAAACACACATACATGCCTCGGCTCTGAGGTCTGTCTGCTATGAGAGGTGTCTTCTCTCTTTCCTTGTGTGCGTCCGTGTCCGTGCGTGTGTGTGTTTGTGGCGAGAGACCCTGAGATTAGCCTTATGTGGCCCAGATTACAACAGGATCAGTGCTGCCATATATTACACTGGCCTATGAACCATCAGTGACACAGTGGACCAGGCTGAGCTTTGGGGGCTTAAAACCTCATTTAATTACACTTCAGCAGAGAGGAAAAGTACAGTAACAAATTCACACGAGCCGTTATTCACTCAGTGTGGGGAGATTATCACGCGGCGACGTTAAAGTGTCAACAGGAAAAATACGTGTTTTTGTCAGGAGGGAAGAAGATAGCACAGGGTTTTATTTTACAGTCACTGTGGAACGTTTGCTTTCCCCAAACAAACGTGACATTTGCACGCCCTGCCTTTACGGTCAACATACGTCCATCTAGTGGCTGCAACTAAAAATGCCTCTCCAGCTGAAAGAGGGAGGAATAAAAGCTGATGAGTCCATTTGACAGGAGAGAAAACTCCATATCTGTGTAGCCCTCTTATAGTAAAATCATTTTTTCTGAGTCTTCTAGGTCTAAATTTCTATTGCCGAGCTCCGATATCGTAGATGACATTTCTATTTGTCATATTGTGTTTACAAGGTGCTACCAGGGACATTGGCTCAGCTCTGACAAGGATGTGTATGCGACACCGTAGCATTGAGGCAAAATTACGCCACTTCACCAAGTAAGTGTCACTTTTGTTTTTATTTGCTCCGTTGCAATTTTCTCTCTTCGCCTGTCCTGAGGCGATTATTACGTTCTCCATCCATGGTGACCTTTCTCTTATTTTGTTACTCTTTACTATGCTGTGGAAATAAAAACCTATTTGTTATACCCTTCATTCTCTTGAATATTGTCTCTTCTTGTTGCTGCAGTGCTCTTATGGAAGGCCTGGTTACGCCGCTGCAGGACAGGATAGAGGAATGGAAGAAGACGGCTAACCAGCTGGACAAAGACCATGCCAAAGGTGAATAACTACAGCAATATAAAAGGCATTAATTGCACAATGTGTATTGTATGGAAATTTATACTTCTGTCTTCACATGCTTGCCAAAGAATACAAGAGATCTCGTCAGGAAATCAAAAGAAAGTCACTTGATACCATAAAACTCCAGAAAAAAGCAAGAAAAGGTTAGTAACTCTCTCATGAAATATTAATTAGTATTATAAGGATTTTAATTAATGAAGTCTGCGACTGGCACTAGCAGTAAAATAGCACCATCTAGAGGGTGGATTGTGAAAGGATAAGTCTCCCAAGTCAAAATGCTTGGCACAATTTCAGAGGCTCCTTTCCAACTTTGGATAGTTTACCCTATAAATCAAAGAAATTAACTTCTTTCCTGGCTGTGCTTGCGTTATCCCCCGCTGCTGGCTGTAATTAAACTCCTATTTTCATACAGTATTTTAACGTAGCAGTGGTACGGGCTAGTCATAAACATGCATTGTGCCCTGATTTAAAACAGCTAACGCTGCCTGTTCTTCTTTCTTTCCTCTCCTCCCTCCCTCTAACCGAAACCCTCCTCCATTTTTTTCGTCTGCCGTTTATCCCCGGCTGTAGAGCTTCTAGGTATGTTTGCTGCTACAAATAAGAACTTCACATATTAGTTTCAAGGCTTAAACCCATCTTTACGTAAACCTGCCAGTCAAAGAAAACACCAACTGTCTTAACATTAGTGGTTAAAAGATGGAATAGTTCCCATTTATTATTATTTACAAATCAATTTAACACCAGCGTCTGCTACTGAGGTGAAACACGGAGAGGTGACACGAATATTTCTTAAGCAGGGAATAAAATAGCGCAAAAACAAAAACAAATCCAGATATTTTCCAGATATGGCGTGTAAGGTAACGCATAACTCTGTAATACTTGACAAAAACGCTAAACAGTGCAACAGTGATGACTTCAGCCTGTCTCTACGCTCCATCTGCAGGCTCTCACCCAGACCTTTACATTGATTCCACAGTGATTAAATACTAAAATTACCTACGTGGGAAACAAACAAGCACAGCAGACACATGTTGTGCAAGTAGGTCTGAAAGTAGGTCAGATATTTAGCAGGTCAGATAGAGACTGAATTCAGTCAAGCTGCACCTTTTAAAAAATATGTCACACGTGGCATTGCGGTAAAAGTTGCTATCCCTTCCTGATTTGAGAATTTTCCTAAATCGCTCCTTATGTGAGGTTTGATGCTGCAAGTATTTCCTGCATCTCTGTTGCAAGGATCTATAAATCACGTCCTCTTGGGACTCGGTTAATTAGTGCCTTATTAAATACAGGTGCTCTGAAAGCGTAGCTCATTAAGCCGAACGTATTAAAGATATGGACAGCTGTAAGAATAATCTACAGCGCTCTGCTTGTTAATGTTTTTTATCAAAGCGATTGCCAGCATAGAGTGATACTAATTTAGATCTGCTCACACCCTTTTAGTTCATTATATTTTGTAAGTGGAACGGTATTTTCTATGTGCTAAAACTCAGCACACTGTAGAGTGTTCAAAATGACTGGCAGTGTACGTGTACGTCATGCAATCACAGCAAGCGTCATCCTAATACTCGTTTTCATCTTCATCTCATCCTTCTTTCGTTGCTTAGACTTCCTGTATCTATCATAAAGTATCCCTGTGGCATGCAGTATTGAATGACCTTCCATACAGTAGTGTTTTTCCAATCTCATCCATTTCAGGGTCTGCAAATCATCTCCAGCTGCACTGATTGATGACATGTTTCAGTGTCCTCTCATTCCTGTGGTCATTATCCATTCTGGCGTAATGTTTTTAAGTGTGTTGACCTTTAGTACACAGCAGCTTATCGTTATTTGTTTTAATCATCTCTCATCTTTTCCTCTCTTCCTCCCCCTCCTGCACTGCGGACACTTCCCGTCACTTTTGTAACCTCCCGTCTAAATCTTAATCTGTTTTCATTCCTTCTCCTTTATTTACTCAACTCCCCTCACCTCTGTCCTCCCCGGCTCTGTCCTTCCTGCCTTTTTGTGTCTTTGCACCCTTCGCCTTCCCCTTGCGCAGGCCGCGGTAATCTGCGCCCCCAGCTGGACAGCGCCATGCAGGATGTCAGCGATTTGTACCTGCTGATGGAGGAGACGGAGAAGCAGGCAGTGCGCAGAGCTCTCCTGGAGGAGAGGGGACGCTACTGTTCATTCATCAACTTGCTTCAGCCTGTGGTGGTAAGGGACATTAAGCCTTTTTAGCATGGAAGCTTGTGCGTGTAAAGAACACCGACGTACACTGTGAAATATCTTCGCCGCGTCTTGTTGATGTGGTAGCTGTTTAATTTGATCAATACTGTTTCCCCTGCAGAATATAGAGATCGCCATGCTGGGAGAAATAACACATTTACAAGCCATTGTTGATGACCTCACTTTGCTGACTGAAGACCCGCACAAGCTGCCACCAGCTAGTGAGCAGGTAACAGGAGTGTAATACTACAAATTCTTCCAGTGCCGCTGACATGCTTATTTCCTCACAGT